CAAAAATAATAGCAATGTGTTTGGAGGTTATAACATACATAAAAGAAAGTGTATAACAACAGTAGCTCAAAGGTCAGGAGGAAGGAAGCGGGAGTATACTGTTATAAGGTTCTTATACTATTTGTTACATGGTTTAATATCACTTGAAGGTAGACAATGGTAAGTTAAAGATGTATGCTATAAACCCTAAATTAACCACTAATGCAGCAAAACAGAATTATAGCTAATAAAACAACAAGAGAGAAAATAGAATAAAAGTAAGTTAACAAATCCAAAAAAAGGCAGAAAGCAGGAAAATGGGAACATATAACAGATGGAAGAAATAGCAAAAAGATATATTTATACCTGACTGTATCAATAATGATAATAAATGTAAATAGTTTAAATTCCCCCAATTTAAAAGCAGAGATTATCAGATGGCAGGGGCGGGGGGGTGAGGAGTAAGACCCAATTATATATTGCCTGCCAAGAAATGCTTTATACATAAAGACCAATAGTTTCAAAGTAAAAGGATAGGAAAAGATATACCGTGATGACATTAATGAAAAGTACACTTGAATGGCTATGTTAATATCAAAGTATATTATCAAACCACAGTAGAATTAAATTAGAAATGAATAACAAAAGATCTCTCACAGAATCCCCAAGCACTGGAAAACTAAATAACACAATTCTAAATAACCCATGGATCAAAGAAGAAATTAAAAGGTATTTTGAAGTTAATTAAAATGAAATGACAATGTACCAGAATTTGTGGTATGGGAGTAAATTAGTACTAGGGAGAAGAGTGTAGCACTAAACAAATATATTAGAAAAGAAGAAATGTCTTAAATCAATGACCTCAGCTTCTACCTTAAGAAACTAAAACCCCCAAAAAAAGCAAATTAAACTCAAAATGAGTAAAAGAAAATAAATAATAAAGATCAAAGTGGAAATCAATGAAATAGAAAACAGAAAAACAATAGAGAAAAATCAATAAAGCAAACTTTTTCTTTGAGAAGATCAGACTGATCAGGAAAAAAGAAGTAGCCACTAGTTACCAATATCATGCATAACAGAAGTGACATTACTACAAATTCTATGATGTAAAAAGGATAAGGAAATAAAAAAAACAACTTCATGCCAACAAGTTCAACAACTGAGATGAAATGGATAAATTCCTCGGAAGACAGAAAGTACTGAAGCTCACTTAAGAAGGAATAAACTGTGTCACCCTGTACTATTTAAAAATTGAATTTACAGTTAAAAACCATCCCTCAAAGAAAACTCTAGGCCAAGATTGCTTCACTGGTGAACTCTACCAAACATATAATAAAGGAATAATACCAATTCTACACAAACTTCCTAAAACATTGAAAATGAAGGAATTCTTCCCAATTTATTTTTTGTTACTATCATTATTATTATTATGATTATTATTATTATTATTATGCTAGCATTACCCTGATACCAAAACCAGATAAAGACATTTATGAATATAGATACAAAAATTCTAAATAAATTGGTATCTTAAATAAAGACTATGTCATAACCAAGTGGAGACTAACCCAGGAATACAGTTTTATTAATAATAGCCAAAAACTAGAAACAATTCAGTGGATGAATGGATAAACAAAATGGTATATCCATACAGTGGAATGGCAAGAACAAAAAAATGAACTATCGATACATGCAACATGGTTGGATCTCACATTGTGAGTGAAACAAAAGCAACAAAAAAATAGTACATACTGTATGAGTTCATTTATAGAAAGTGCAAACCAATCTATAGCCAGCAAAAGCATATAAGTGTTTGCTTGGGGATGGAGGGGTGGGCAGGGCATGGAGGGATGAGAGTAGATTATTAGCAAGCATAAAGAAACCTTGGGGAGTGATGAATATATTCACTACCCTGATTATGGTGGTGGTTTCATACTTAAAGACATGTATCATCATAATTATCAAATTGTACATATTAAATAAGTATATGCCAATTATAGATCAATAAAATCTTTTTTTAAAATGATTAACAATATGAAAAATAAAGCAACATGGAAAATAATCAGAAGATTCAGAGGACCGGTAAAGACGGCTTAGAAGGTAGAGGCTGTGCATGCCTCCTCTCGCGACCACACCAAAATTACAACAAAACTACAGAGCAACCGGCACGGGGAGTCATCTGAGGTCTGGCTGAACAGAAGCCCTACAACTAAGGACAAAAATAAGAGGTCACCTCAAACCAGAAGAAGGGGTGGAGACATGAAACGGTCTAATCCCACAACCATATGTGGTGATCAAGAATTGAGAGGGCTATCTTAGCTGCAGAGTCCCCTCCCTAACCTGAGGAGCAAGAGGTCCCAGCCCCACATTGGGCTCCCCAGCCCATGGTTCCAGTGCCAGGAAGAGACGTTCCCACAACCTCTGACTGTGAAAACCAGCGGAAGTTGTGGCTGAATGAGACAGAGGGCTGCAGGAGTCTCAGACTTTGCTCTCGGTGGGCCTGCACACAGACTTACTCACTGAGGGACTCACTCACTCTGAGCTCCAGCGCTGGGATAGCTGCTCGAGGAGCGCCAGGGCCATATGAGGAGGCACTGAGTTGTCAGGCTTCAGGGCAAGGGCTGGAGGAGTGGCTTGCTCCCAGACAGAAGTACTGGCAGTATTCATTGCTCCTTTATTGAGCTCTCCCCACTCCCAGCCTGCAGATGCGGGCACCGCCAGAGCTGAGTTGCCATCAACCTGGATAATACTGCTCACTCCACCCAGGTGATTCCCTGAGACTCCGCCTCTCCCAACTTCCGGGCCCACCTAAGCTGCTTCCAGTAGTTTATTCCATACGCATGGCCTTCCTTGGTTATTGTTGCAGACTCCTAAAATCCCTTGAAGGCTCATAAAACCCAAAGAAGCAGTGTCTGGACTTGGCGTGCCCTGTACCTCTTGCTGAACAGCCTCAAGCCCCGCACAAGTAGCAGCCAGCTTCAGTTTCTGACTTGGACTCTTGAGGCACCTATAAGCCCAGGACAGGTGGTATCCACCTGTGGATTTCTTGATGACTCTTACCAGGTGTCCCCACAGGTACACAGACTGCTGCTAAACTTGATCTGCAGCTGGATCCACCCCAGGACACCTACTACATAAAGCCACTCTGTTAAGACCAGGAGACTTAGGAGTCCTACCTAATACATAGAAACAGACACAGCGAGGCAGCCAAAATGGGAAAACAAAGAAGCATGTCCCACATGAAAGAACAGAATAAAGCTCTAGAAAAAGAACTCAACAAAATGGAGACAAGCAATATACCAGATGCAGAGTTCAAAACAATGGTTATAAGGAT